CCACACACAGCCCATCGAACACAGCATAGCTGTAATTAAACTAAATTACTATGCAGTCGCTTTCATTACGCAAGGACACAGGTTTTGTTAGGACCATAGAGAGAGTTTAATTATATGTCTAGACACCCCCTGAATTCAGAGCAGTGGTATTACATTGTCTGCTTAAAAGAGAGTTTGCGCATTTGGTGATTGCATTTTTTTGAAAGACCAAATGGTAAGATATGTTTGGGTTATTTTTTTTCTTTTTTAATTCCACATTCTATTTTAATACATGTTTTATTTAAGAACCATCTATACATCTGTGGGTATGTTTACCCAGGAAAATGTACAGATGTTTACTCTTTGTCATATTTGATATACATTTCACTTGCATCCAAAAACTTTTCCTTTAATACATCCCAAATATCCACTCTTAACTTATTAGTATATAGAGCGTGTGCTATGGTCTAAAACTCGATCATCTCTCGTAATAGTTCTTCCAGCTTCCCCATCCTTAGCAAGAAGCTCATCCTTTTGCCTAAGGATGGAGTGCTTTCTACGTTCATCCTCAAATTTGCCCAATCAGCTTCTCCAGACAGACAAGAGTTCTGCCTCTTTGTAGACTCTATAGACTCTGCTTGACCAGACCATTCAGATTCAGGCACTCTCTTTGTTTTTCTTGTGCTGAAACCTGAATTCTTTTCTCTCATTTTAAAAATGTGTTTGCTGCTTTTTTCTTTGTAACTGTGGATCATTTGGGGATCTTTTTCCAAGCTATGCATTATATTATCTCCTGAATACCACCTCCATTTAACTGGTCAAAGCTTTTCATAGCCTCCATTCCTAAAATTGCATCTTTTCTGAAATCTTACCACATACATTGGATATAAGAGAATGAAATTATCACATGCTTATCCTCTCTAAACATTCTCAACAGCCCCTTGGAAAGTTGCCTCACATCATGCACTTGCTCTGATCTTATATACAAATACATTTTGTATACTGATTAATTTGTTGACTAAATGTATATTACTTCAGTTTTCTCTATATTTTTGTCAGCATGAGACTTGTATGTTTAAACCAGGGAACATCACTTTTTTCTGTCAAGTTTTTGCATAATGCCTAATTTAAAAAGATAGCCGTTCAATTAATAATAATTGCTATTGAAAGCAATGGTGTTTCACTGAAGTCTTGGTTGAGTAAATGTTTTAGGTTTTGAGTTGAATCTAATGGAAATAGTACGGGTAAATGACATTTTCCACTAGCACCATATAGATTACTCTTGGGAACACGTACATAATAGTTTTCTAACATGCACATATATAGACAGAGAAATGAATTTCCAACCTGTCGAGAGTATCCATGCTCCTCCATTCTGACTGTGTACACCAGGAGACTGGTACCAAAATCAAAAACAAGAACCGGAGTCTGACTGCTCTTCATGATCTCTCTTCTTGTCAACTATTCTAACCTGACACCCCAGGTTTCCCTGCTCAGTGGCACTCAAAACTATCCTCCCTGTCAGCATCCTGCTCCCTTTCCCCATGACATGGCTACTCCAGCAAGCATTTCTGAGCAAAGCTTTGTTTTATCCAGACACTTCTAGGCCACACCCAAAACCTGAAGCAATGACCACACATGGGAACCTTACTGCAGGGACAACGGCAGGCCCAGTCGTCTTCAAGCTCACCACTAGAGTCCAGCAGGGAGCCTTCATTTACAAACAGAGGCCTTTTGGCTGACCTGCTGTTCACTAATGTGTCATTAGAGCTGGCCGAATCACTGCTCAGTTCCATTTTATTACACTGGCAAATACAATTTATGAATGCTTCAGACCTGAAGAAAATGGAAGAGAAAACAAACAGATGAATTTTCAACTGTCATTCATCAAACTCCCCTGAGGCATATGCTGTATTAGATATTCACAGCAGTGTCAAAAGATGTGAAGAAATTAAGTCAGCCATAACTATCAACTTAATGCTACTACAGAAGACCAAAACCTAATTATATAATTATTCAAAACGTGATTTCGAAGATAAAACCCTTTTGCCTTATCTTGCAGTTAAAATGTTATTATTGGGTTTTGGCTTTTTTCAAAGTGATGCTGTAAATTTCATTCATCTAACTGATACTCAGTGAGCATCTCTGAGGTGACTGAGTATTATCAAATAATATGTGTGGTATGTTTCATAAGCACATAGATGCTGAACTTTATTACAGCTAAATGTATCAAAATGATGTTGCTATGGAAATACATTGCTACAATGTAAGCACAAAAATTTTAACTTCTATTACAAATTAATAACAGCAAATGAATAAAAGATGTAGATTACCATTAATAGGAATTTCAATTTCTCAGAAGGAAAATTGAGTTCTTTATTAATCATTCAAAAGTATTTGTTGAGTGTGTTCTTAGTGCCAGACACTATACAGGAAACTAGAAATCTGGGAAACCAGATAAAAATTTTCCTTGTCTCATGGAGTTTTCAGTCTAGTGAGGGAAACATCCTGAACATAGAGCTTGCAAAGAAACACATTCTGTAAAGAAAATTAGGAAGAATCAATGAGAATATATAAGAGTGGGCGGGCATATATGTTAGTTTGGAAGGACAGGTACAACCTTCTTGAGGAATAGACAGTACAGTTTCATCCTGAGCATGAGGAGGGCTGGCCAGGTGGGGAAAAAGAAAAAAAAAAAGATAGAAAAGCATTCCAGGAAGAGAAGGCAGCTGAATCAGGATGCTGAGGTGGGAAAGAGATTAGGTAGGGCCTTTGAGCAACTGAAAGAAAGTCTATGTGGTAGAATAGAGCAAGAGAAAGGAAAGTGGCAGAATGTGAGACTGGAGGGGGAAGCAGGAGCCAGATGATCAAGGCCTTACAAGCAGAATAAAGTAATGGGAAATGATTGAAGAGTTTCCCAATGAAAGGAAATGGCCTGATTCCCTGTTCTGCTGTGTGGAGAATAGCCTGAGGCACACTAGAAATCAAAGAGCGTAGTTAAGCAGCTACTGTGGTGATCTAGCTACGATCATGGCAATGGCATAAATGCAGGGTGTTTCAAGAGACATTTTGGAATTAGAATCAACAGCACTTTGTTAGGGATCGAATGGAGGCAGTGAGGGAGAGGAGACAATCAGTTTCTTACTTGAACACTTGAGTTGATGAGATACCATGTTTCGAGAGGAGAAAAACTAGAAGTGGGCTGGGAGGTCAAGAGTTCAGTTTTGGACATGTTAAACTTAAGGTACCTATGAGACAGCCAACTGGAAATGAGACATAAATGGTTTTTACAGTCTTGAACTACTAGCAATGTAATTACATAGTTTGTTTAGTTACTATGAGACCAGATATAGTTACCAACTAAATGTATTTATTCATATTCCGAGCACATCATTTGTAACAGATGGTTTTCAGAATAAGAGAGTATGAAATGCCTGCCACTAATATAGAATTTATTTTTTAAAAATTTATAACCCAAGTAATGTATAATTTTATAATTAAATTTTATATATTAAAATATAATTAATTTTAATATATTATTATATATTTGATATATAATATCTATTAAATATATTTAATATATTAATCTATTTAATATAATATTTAATATATTATATTTAAAATATAATATGATTTTATATATTAAAATGTCATTTAAATTAATTATAATCTCACCACACAATTTTTTATACACACGTGTGTACTTGGGCAGGGAGGGGCGCTATAAAAAGTAGCTGAAAAGAAAGGAGTAGACAATCAAGAAGAGTTTACAGCAAAAGAGAAGGCTAGCAGCACAGCCTCGATAAAGATCTAATTTAAGAAGCAGAGTCAGAAAAATATTTGTTTACTCATGTACTTAACAGCTGTTCACTGAGCATCTACTGAGTGCCAGGGACTGTTTTAAATTCCAAAGCAAGAATCATAGACTGCAGAGTGTTTTGTCTGGCCTCTACAGGGTTTAACATTTTTCAGCTTCATTGTCAACATTTAAAATGGATATTTTACATCAAAAAATCTGAATTTCTATCTTGCCTTGAAAAATCAGAAAAGCTAGCAATGTAGGGCCTTCCCCACAACAGCTGGCTGAACCCGAGTTGCTTTGCTTCTTAAGGGGTCGTGCTCTCTCCAGAGACAGACACAGTCCCCAGGACTTCGCGGCGTCTCCCTTTTACTTTACACTGTGCCAACTTCCTTCATTCTTTCAGGGTACCTTCATGCCCTTGAAGTCTTTGTGACCCCTGCTTAAGAGATATAAAATCATATGCAACATTGCTGCTGCCACTCAGGCCAAAAGCAAGGGAAAGATGCTGAAGATTGTAAGCAGGGAGCGACATGACAAAATCTGCACTTTAAAAAATGACTCTTTTGGCTGTGTGGAGGAGCATGGGCTGGAGAAGAGCTGGCTGGCAATTAAGCTAGTAATCGAGTAATTAAGAGGAATGTGGCCTGGCTGAAGGCAAGAGCGGTAGGCAGGGACAGAGAATAGATACCTGAGGCACTAGGAGGGAAAACTACACAGGGTCATGGGTTGGATGTGTTCTCTATAATAATTACTCACATCTAAATGATTGTTCAAACAGTAACTATGAAGTCTTTGCCATGGTTGTAAATTTCTAAGATGACACATACAATTATGCTTTTCCGATAATAAATCAGACAAATTTCAATATACAGCACCTTCACTTTTTATAATAATAATTAGCCAGTTTGAGCAGATATGGATATATGAATAAAGGGAACTGTAGCTAATATCTTCCGAGGAGTAAATGTTTTATTTTTGGCAGTTGGTTCTATATAATTTCAATTCCATTTCACTTTTAGATAATTTTATATAAGCTATCTAGAATGATGTATAGTTTGAAATACATTTTCCTTCATGGTGTTTATTTTTAAATCATAATGTGTGTGTGCTCATGAATCACATAACTTAAAGACTATTATAATTCTGAAAATAGTAAATATGAATATTAGAACTATAAATATAATTACATGAATGCTACTTTATTATATTCTCTGTTTAGTACCTACATGAAAATGGGATTGTCCATCGTGATCTCAAACCAGAGAACCTTCTCTATGCAACTCCAGCCCCAGATGCACCGCTCAAAATTGGTGAGGCCATTTCCTGGTGTCTTATGACCCCTCTTCCCAGAGCAGAAGAAATTTACTCTATGGAATTTTTGATTATGGCTCCATCCAGTTTAACCTCCATTCAATTTTCTCAAATATTTGGTGCCTATAAAGGAATAATGCATTGTTTTGGGAAGTCTGTGCTCTTTCCTGGAATATTGATCTGGAATTAGTGCCTAAAGTTGGTGTTCCATTGCTGGAAAGACAAAGGAATCACAACTCTTGGAAATGACAGAGACTTCAGGAGGTGACTTTGTATTTTATAGATAAGTTTATATAGAAGAAAATCACAGATTACTTAACACTTCTTTTTCGGTTATTAACTTTTATTCCACAAATTGGAGGGAGCTTAATTTTAGATAATCAAGAATTTTGACGTGAATATTTTGTACCTATCAGTGAATTTAGGATCTGTGTCACTGTTATATGAACAGAGATAAATTAAGATACATATTTCCCAAAGTGTAATCAACGGAACCTTGGTTCCTCGGCTGAATGCACAAGAGTGAAGAATTCCCTTTTGGGAGAGGTGGGAGTGGTTTGTAGGGGTGCTAAGTTTGGTCAAATAGGTTAGAAAATGCCAGCTTAAAGTTAAACAAGATTTTTATTTCTGCAAGAATTCTCAGAACCTTAAAAAGCTAATGTATGGACTGACAGCTAATGTAGTGTACTGCGAGGCTTTTCTCAAACTTTATTTAACTCTGAAAACCTTGTTTTTTTCCCCACTAAACATTTTGAAGAACTATGAAGAAGAACTTTGAGAAATTCTGATCTAACCAAAGAGATCTTTAAATCAGCATTTTAGAAAAAAAGTATATTAACTATTACTTTCCATGTGCCTTCCAAAGCAAATCTTCATTTGCAGAAAAAAAGAAAAGAAAAGAAAAGTAAGATTTATTGTAGGCGGATTCTCCTTAGTAGAATCTGTCTTAAATTCTCTGAAGGGCTTTGCTCTCTTGGTGTGGTCCTTTATAATGCTAATCTGATGAGTGCACTGCATTTATAAGTATTAACACCTTTGAAAATTAAGTTGTACACATCATGGAAGAGCTCAAAAAGCATAATGTGTTTTATAAATGCAAAAAGCTGAAGAGAAAAAAACACTGAAGTCCTGCTGGGCAGCCAGCTTGTTCTCATTATCACTCCTGAAAGGCAGTGGGCAGCAGGGAGGCTCCTATTTCTTTTGACATCACTTTCAAAGATTTTATCCTTAAAGAAATTTCTTTAAATGGATGGATAGACACTAATTTAGGCAGAAGAGCCTTTCTTTCTGAAGAACTCCCTGCTGCTTCCCCTGATAAGGATCAGCACCTCCCTAGAAATGTGGGCTTGTCTTTGAAGTCTAAAATGGCATCAATTCTGCACCTGTCTTCCTTGAAGAATGACCTTGAACGGTTTCCTGATGTTTCCAGAGTGAGGCACATGTAGCCCAGCAAATAGACCATAATAGTAGCAACTTTTGATGATGTTTTATCTAGGTAATATTCTGAAGAATAAATAAAAAGGATTTGGGGGGGGGGGAAGTCGTATTCCTCACATGAGAATAAATTCTTATCTGCCAAATACGCTAGGGAATGACATGATTTATTTTGAAATAGAATAAACATTTTGATGTTTCTGTTCATTTCCTTGACATTTATGAAAGTCTAATTTTTTACATTGACTTATTCCAAGAGATTAAAAGTTCTGAATTATGTCACTAATTCTATATTGTCCTTTAGAGTTACTGTTTTATAAATCTCAGAATTAATATTATACAAAATATGTCTTTTGCAACTATTACTTCAAGAAGAAATAACTTATTTGCTTGCTAAAAGCTGAGAATTGTAGAGAAAGGTATTAAAATATATTAGGGAGTCATATTTTTCTCCAATTTAAAGCAGGACTTGAATTATTATTATTACTTTGTTTTAGTTTCCTCTTCATCTACATTCGCTTCATCATTAATACAAAAACAAGTCAATAAATAAATGTTAGTTGTATTTTGAATAACAGAAGCATTCTATCATTTTATAAAAGCTGAGAAAGAACTTGCTTCATTAATTTTTTTCTTTGGAATCCATTTTAAATAAATTTTACTTTTTTTTCCTTAGCTGATTTTGGACTCTCTAAAATTGTGGAACACCAAGTGCTCATGAAGACAGTATGTGGAACCCCAGGGTACTGCGGTATGCTCTTTAGTACTGATACTCTACTTTTATTGTTATTTGAAATCTATTTTTATTTAATGATGTGATTTTTTAACTCCTAATATCTCTATTTAAAATACTTACACAATTAAAATAATTAATTAACTAATTAATTTTTTAAAAGATGATGTAAGTAAAAATAAATACATCAGAATTAAAAAAATAAAATACAATGCTTACAATTTGATGCAAGTCTCCACATAGAAGGCATATGTAAATGATGCTCAGACTACCTCTTGTTCTGCATGAGAGAACAAGGAGGCACCAAAGAGACAAATTTTCGAACCATTTTCAATTATGTCGGTTTTAGGGCACCCCTGTTAGAACAGCAGGGGGAGAGGAGGCCCCAGGGAGGAAGGACTAGATTCTCTACACCTGCTTTTGAGGCGGTAGCTACTCTTGGACCCATCCAGAAGTAGAAAGACAATCACCAGAAAGAGGGCAGGGAAACAGCTTTGTTTGTGGTTGGAGTAAAAGCCATGAGTCTTTTGTCACTTTTTTAATTTGCTTTTCCTTGGAAGGTATGTGAGGATAGCGTGTGTCATTAATTCAGATGGCATGTAGGACAACAGTAAGAATGGGATAGTCAGTCCCTAGTCCTCATTGATGGCACTGGCCTAGCCTTGCTAAGACCAGGGCTCCAGGTGGAGTTTTCCCACGTGTCCCCCAGTCTCTGGAGATGGACTGTCCAACAGTCCTCACATCTTCTTGTCTCCCAGGGTCAGCTGAAGGCTCTCTATGCAGTCCACTGCTGAGAGACAGAACAATAGTTTTTTATTCTTGCCAGCATGAAACACGCCTTTTTTTTCTTGATGGCTGAATTAACCTGGCAACAACCTAAAAGTCAATAAACCTTACAAAACTTATCAAGAATTCCTAAAGTTTCTGTGGCTAATGAATACATCACAAATCAATTAAAATCTTAATATGGACTACAAAGAAAAAAGACAGGATTTCAAGATATCAGTCTCAAGATTAGCCATCATTTTCTCTTAGGACCATCATCTTTTTGCACAAATCTTGCTTCGCTCACTCATCTCTTCAGCAGAGCTTCCTGTTGTATACTCAAACCAGTGCTTGACACCAGGGAGACAAATTTTCTGCCCCCATTCCCACCCCCACCCTAGGGGCTCACAGTCTATAGGGAAACAGACATGGAAACCCCAAAATTATAGCACCTTAAGAAATACCATGTTATGTGTATGGAAACATAGGAGAAGGGAGGTATTTGGAATCACCAACCTTATTCTTCCATGGCATTTATATTTGTTAGTCATCCCTGTCTCAGAAATAGATACTTAAGAACTACGTAACTAATCATAACTAACTCATTTTAACAGCTTTTGAATTCATAGAAATCAGACTGGAGAGTACAGTATGATATCCGCTGAAGGGAATGTATGATTAAATTCACAGAATTTTAGTGCTTGAAGAAACTTTAATTTACTGACATTCTCATTTTACTAAGATCCAAAGAGTCCCAAGATTTCACATCAAGTTGTTAGTGGATCAAGGATGAGAATCTAGGTATCTAAGGGCCTAAAAATAGAATTATAGAATTCTCTCTTTAAAAAGGCAATATAAATAAGTCAATATAGCTTTCCTTTATAGAAATATTTATCAGTTATTGCTTTTAGTTTAAAATGGTTCCTATTTTAATTTTTTAATCCTCAAAAGTATAACTTGATTATTGTTAGAAGTAAAAATCCAAACATCTGTAATCAATATTAGTAGCCTTGTATATTCTGCCTCATCTTTCTCCATGTTCACATAAACATTTTATAATTTTGTTTTTAACTAGTTAGTTTTGCTAGTAGTTCTAAAATATTACTTCCTTGAAGCTTCATTATTTGTGAATCCAATAATTACACAGAATTAAGTGTACCTATCTTGCTAAGTACTTTACTTTGTGCCAAATATTGTTGTTCTGGATCTTAAGCTTCTTGAGGACAAGGACAGTTCAACAATTAGGAGTAATTTCAGAAAACTCAAAATAACTGTGGCTTAAACAAGAAAGAAGTTAATTTCTCTCACGTTAGGGGTTTAGAGATAGGCAACCCTGGCGGGTTTTGCAGCTGTGGCTCAGCAAATGTGATGGATCTCAGTGCAAGGGATCTAGGCTTTTCTTGTCTTGCTCTACCATTTCTTAGAATACTTCCTTGCAGTCCAAATGGCTGCTTGAAATCAGTCATTGCACCTGCAGTTTACATAACAGGAAGGAAAAAAGGTCAAAAAAGAGTGTACCCTTTCACTGTTAAATGGACTTGCTAAAGCCCCACGGGTCACTTCCACTTATATCTTATCAGCTGATACTTAGTTATAGCCTCCACACTGCCACAGAAGCTGGCACTGTGTCCTTTGACTGGACATGTTATTGCCCCAAATGAATTCAGGATTCTGTTACCAAGAATGAGTATTGCATTAGACAACTTGCTATTTCTACGACAGACTTATGAGGAGGATTCCCATTCCTAGGGGGGGAAAAAGTGAAAATCATCGCACTATACCACGTTCACTATAGGCATCCTCTCGTTTGGTTTTGTTTTTATATTTTTTATTTTCCTTAGCACTCTTAGCTGACAACTGTCTGTGACTCTTCCCTTCTAATGATGCCATATGCACTTTCCCTTTCTCTAATTCAGATGTCTTCATTTGTCCTCCTCCTCTATTTCTTTCATACTTCCAGATCTCCAAGACTATGGGAGGAACATGAAACCCTAAATTTAGTACCATGTGCCAACTAGGGTTGCCTATTTGTGGTCATTAGTTGCTGACCAATTAGTAGGAGCATGAAAAGAGAATTGAGAAAAGAATGATAAAACAAAATAAGGATTTCTCACAACAAGAAAGCTGATGGGCAATTTAGTAATTGTTGTCTAATACCAAATACTAAATATTCCAAGGAGGTAGGTAGGTTGGAGCAATTCTCTTGAGAATTGAGCATCCCCGAAATGAGATAATCAATGATTCACCAGTGATCTCTCAGAGTCCCTTCTGTGACTAAGAGATAATAGCATCCTTTCAAGGGCTTTAGTAATAGAGCAGTTTTTTCTTACAGCATTATAGAATGGTCATTCCATAGATGAATGATTCATTCACTGACAAAATGAACGTTGACTATTTGATAGATTCCATATTAGGCACTGAGATTACAAGAGTAAACACAGTATGGTCTTGCCCTTCAGGGATTTCATGGGCTATACAAGAAGAAAGACCTGTACGGGATAAATCAAAGCTTGTTGTGATAAGTTCTATATTTATCTGAGCCAAAGGGTCAAGGATACAGAGAGGAAGTAGCAATTAATCCTGCCTAGAGAGGTCTTTACAGAGGAGGGGCAATTGAGCTGGACACTGAAGGACGAGCAGGAGTTCAACAAGTGAAGAGGTGGCCACAAGGCATTTTTTTGTCAGCAGGCACACGAAGGGAAAAGTCATAGAGGAGTGGTAGCATCTGGCAAGTTCATGGACTATTTGTTACTTCCTCACTTTGAATGGCTGGGACATAGAGTCCTCTGCACAGAGGTTACAGATGGACATGCAAAGGTAGAATGGACCATATTTTAAAAGAATTCTTACTTGCTTTGGTGGATAATAGTACTCTAGCAAAGATTCTTAATCAGAGCAATCATATTTTTAAATCAAATCTGTATTTTATAAATATCTTGATAATGACGTTGTGACAGATGGATTTGACAGAGAAAAGAGATCAAAAGAAGACAAATTAAGAAGCTATTGTAAATGCTCTTTTCTGTCCATCTTACATCAGAAATCTACACACAGGTTTTTGTCACTCCATAAACAGCTTTTCAGCAGATATTTGATCTATTCCTATATCCAATCGTTTATTTTTTTAAATATAGAATGATTGTAAAAATACTATTTCAAACTCTTTTCCTTGCCATAAACAAGCCTGTCTTACTGATTACAGACGTTTATTTTCCCTTTACTATTTTTTTCCATGCAGATGTTCATATCACCCTAGAGGCTGTGTAATAAGCAAAGAGGGAATTGAATGGTTGAACGTAATCAGGATAATCCTTCCACTCTGCTGTAGGTAAAGGCTCCCAGGAAGGAGTCATTTGCTATATTATAAGAAAAGGAGGAAAAAGCAGCATAGAGGCTAGGGTAGAGCAGAGCGGGAGGATGGAGAGGGAAAATAAAAATGCTTTGTGGACTCTGAAGTACTAAACATATGTTGGAATCACTAATATATAGGCTGAGGCCAGCTTAGAAGTCAAAAACAAGTAAGTTCAATGTATTTAATTACAAGCACGGTCCAAATTATATAAACATTTATTTATACATTCTTTTGACCAAAAGGAAATACACTAAAATATGACCTCAAAGTGGAAGTAGAGGAGGAGGCAGGATTTTAAGGATGCACCTGTGTATAGTAACACAGAGAACACCGGAAAAGCTGAGTTAAAGAAAAACAGAAGTCACAGTAACGCCAGGGCACAGGAAGTAGATGATGTAGAACAGAGGAAAGATGAAGAATTTCAAATTTTAAAAATTTTAATGTAAAAAAAATTGTAATGTAATGATGAATATTTTTATTCATCTGTCTTATAAACGATTATGAACCAGGCTAAAGCCTCCTGTGAGGTTCACTCTCAGTTCTAGCCTTTTCTCCTCTCACCACATATAATACTGTCATCAGTTTGGCAGGTGTCCTTCTGAGGTTATGTGGGTGGGGAGGAAACTGTCCATTTATAGAATGAGTTGAAAATGAGACCAGTACAAGACTGATGAGAATCACTGTCGTGCTACAGGAAGCATGACTTTACACAGAGACTTTACATTTAGCTTGAAGTGTCTGAGGCGCACATAATTAACTGGAGAGGGGAGACGTGAGCTTGTTTCCTTGCTTGTAAGGGCGATTACATCCCAAGTCAATTATCCTCATGTGCGCTGGGTCTAGTTTCTACCTTTAATGGAAGGCTTTTTTTAATTACATCTTTTGACGAAATGGGCATATA